TCCTGGATGGTCAAAAAAAACTTGCAAAGCGACCGGGCTTGGCTTTTGCAAACCCTCCGGGGGGGCGCGACTGGGGGGGCAAAGAGACTAAACGGGGGAGGGGGCGACCCCAGGACCCCCGCTAACTCCCTCCCTCCCTGCTTGGTGCAAAGTCGGCAGCTACTCACTGCTGGTCCGGCTCCGCATTCCCTTGCAACCTCTGGGGCTTAAGAGATGGGGAAACCCTTCCTTTCGCTCTCCGGATCTCCGCGGAAAGGATTAGACCTCCCCCCCACTTTGGCAACCTGCGGGAGAAGGGAGGGGGACCCTAAGCCTCGCCTCCCCACCCCCTGAGTTCACACACTCTCACACAAATACACACACACACACACACGGATCTGAAGGAATGATGAATGGCATTTCAGGGCTCCTGCGGACTAGGAACTTGGAGCCGTCTAAAACGCGGAGGAAGGAGATAGCTAGGCTACGGCTGCCCGGGCAGGGAAGGCGAGAGGGCTGTATTTGCGGGGGACAGAGAGGATGGGGGGCCGCTCTCCCCCAGGCCTGGCTCGCTTTACGCACGTGCACTCTCGGCCGAGTTAGTGCACGTGTGAACGAGAGGTCGCAAGCGGGGACGCTCCGGCCACCGCGTGCGCGGGAGTGAAACGCGGCCGCCGCGGCTGCTCAGAGAAGCCGCAGGAGTACCAGCCAAGCCAGCACTACAAACCCCATCATGCCGGCCGGGAACGGCAGGAGACGTGGGCCGCCCCACACAAGGAGCCCCATTGGGGGGAGGCCAAGGAACCCCACGCAGAAGGCCTTTCTTTCGAGCCTTCGGGACTCACCGGATGCCTCGTCTCGGCCGGTCATTGGTCGCCAACGGGGACCGATCCTTTCCGGCGGCTTCTCGGCTTCTTACTGCTGGGGCGAAAGAAAGCACCGGGAGTGAGAAGAGACGCCGCCCGGAAAAGGTTTGCAGGATGAGGCCCCCGTTCCTGCGGGCGGGTCCTCCTTTCAGTCCGTCGTGGCTTTTGGCCAGGATCCTGTCCGTGCCTGGGCAGCTCAAGGTCTGCAGACCTTGTCAATATAAATGTTAATCCTCTTAGAACCAGCGGGGGGGGGGGGGGGGGAAGGTTTGCAGGATGAGGCCCCCGTTCCGTCGGCTTTTGGCCAGGATCCTGTCTGTGCCTGGGCAGCTCAGGGTCTGCAGACCCTTTCAATATAAATGTTAATCCTCTTAGAACCAGCGAGCTGGAAAAGGGGACCCCGTGGGGTCATCCAGTCCCGCCCCTGCCCAGGAGGCGCCAGGGGGGAATCGAACTTCCGACCTAAACCCCCTGAGCTAGGGAATAACCTTCTCTTGTCCCAGCAGCCAGGGTGTTCCACCCTGAAACGACGGAACTGTAAAAGAATTGGAAGGGGTCCTAGAGGCCATCCAGTCCAGCCTGCAGCCCAGAAAGGGGAAATCGCCTCTTAGCCTTGTGGCCGTTTCCACAGGGTTACGCGAAAGGCAGGAGCCGCCCTCCCTTTGGCGGTCAAAGCTTTCCTTCCGCGTGCGTCAGGTTAACCTTGGACCCCAAAAACCGTCCACAGGGTTACGCGAAAGGCAGGAGCCGCCCTCCCTTTGGCGGTCAAAGCTTTCCTTCCCCCAAAAACCTTCCTTCCCAAAACAGGGCAACTGAGCAATCACAGCAAAATTAAAAACGGATACAGATAAAAGCACAAAAAGTGATCCCCCTAAATTGACCGGCATGATGTCGCGAGAGGGAAACAAACAGGGCCCCTGAACCCCCAAAAGAGTTGATCTTTCCGCAGGGGTCGCTTTCAGTGCCAGAGGACTGGAATATCTTTTCCCACGCAGGAACAAGATCCGTCTTTTTTTTCACCTGGTGGCCCTACACGGAGAGCAAATTGCAAAGAGCTGGCACCTTTCACAACTTTATGTGGCCGAGGGCTCTCCAGCCAGGATCTCCTCCTCCTCCGGCTGAAATGCCTTCTGCCCCCCTGCTGCTAAAAAAAGGCCTGTGGCCCCCGCTCTCTCCTCCTCCTCCTCCTCCTCCTCCAGCTGAAATGCCTTCTGCCACGCTGCTGCTAAAAAAAGGCCCGTGGGCCCCGCTCGGGTCTTCTAGCTGTCCCTCTCCGACCTCCAAATCTCCACCAGCCCCTCTGCCCTGCTTTCTCTGCCCGGAGGACCTTTCGTCACAAGGTCTCGCTCTCACTGTTTTGAGCTCCTCCTTGGGTCTTTTCTCTAAAAGGACGCATTCCTGCCTCTCGTCCCTGCCTTTTCTGACCCACCCTCCAAGGGCCACCTTGCTCTGTGACACGTCGGTGGCAGAGGCTGGGTCCGGAGATGCCCTGCGGTCCAGTCCCTTCTGCGCCAGACCGTCTGCCCCGACAGCGCCGGCCACTTTGGGTGACTGTGGTCCCTGGGAACAGCATCGCAAGGAAATGAAAGCGTCCCCCCCCTCTGACTTTAGCCAACCCGGTTGTGGCCGGGGCTCAGGTGCAGCGGCCCTGGAGGCCGGTCCTGCCGGAGGCTCGCCTGACCACGAAGCCAGGGGGGTGAAAGTCCCCATTCGCCTGCGCCTTTCGTGGCTGTGAAGAGGAGGCCGTTCTCGCAGGGCGCATCTCCTCCTGCAAGCTTCCCCTGCCGAAGGGCCTCCTTTCCTACAACCGTGATCCCCACAGCAGCCCGGTCCTCTTTTCCAAACGGCCACCCTGCCCTCCCAAGCCTTCCAGAGGCTCCCTCTTGAAGGCATTGGCTTCTTCTGCAGGGCCTTCCAAAGGTGGGGCAGGCCAGGAAGAAGGAGCCGAAACCCAACCTGCCATGAAACCATCATCTTGCGAAGTGGTCCAGTTACAATAAATCTCCCAGCCTTCTCCGTTACCTGCTGCTTCTGCTGCATCCTCGTCAGCTGGCCGGGTCCCTCTGATGCTGCTGCTGCTGCCGAGGGTGGTGGGCTTCCTCCCCTCTCCCCACACATTGCTCCTGGAGTCTGGCTTCCCTTGACTCTGGCGAAGGTTTCGGACCCATCTCCATGGTGCCAGAGGCCTCTCCCCTCCCCAGCCCGGGGCTGCTTCTCTGCACTCTTCTTTGCCCCCCCCCCCCCCCCAGGTCGGCCAACGCTGGCGGCGACGATGGGCTGGAGGCAGGAGGTCCCCTTGGAGGTGGAAGGGTGGCTTTTTATGCCCTCCTTCCTGTATAAATCAGGGCTGGGGATGGACCCTCCAGACAGGAAGTCCTGCGGGTGTTGCTGGCTGATAAGAGGTGGGGTGAGCAGAACAAACAACGCCCGAGCCCTACACCACACGTGGAGGGCCCAGGAGGGAATTGGGCGGGCAGGCCACTGGCGAAAGGAAGGAGAGGTGCTAGGGAGTAAAAGGTGGGGAGGGCAAATTTCACCCCAAAAGCTCAGCGCAACCACGCCCGTTTTGCAGGCTGGAGGGCCCCGATTCTGCCCCAAGCCCCTCCAGGCAAAGGCGGCCCAAGAGTCAACGCTGGAGAAGAGTCCCTCCCTCCCTCCCAACCGGAGAACTGCTGCCGTTAAGCGTAGGGAAGACCAGCCTGCTTAGATCCATGGGCTCAGCCGGCTAGGGGTCCGTGGTGCCAATTCCCATGGGTCTCGAAGGCCTCCATCATCAGAGCACACGCCACCTCCCGAGGTTATGGCTTCCGTTGCCGTGTTGTTCTAACTTTTCAGAAGTTTTCCCTGAGATTCAGCTGAGTTCGGGCTACGATTCTCATGGGTCCTGTACTCTGGGACGATCTAGGACAGATCCTGCCGCTCTTGAAAGCCTCCAGGGAAGCCCGAGGCTGGAATCTGTCACAATCTGGAAAAGTTGGCTTTTCTTGACGGAGACCAGGTCCCTTGAGTGAGATGGGCTGAGAACCATGGGGTGTGTGTGTGTGTGTGTGTCAATAACAATGCAATAATCTTAGAATGGCAGAGTTAGAAGGGACCCTCTGGGGTCATCCAGTCCAGCCCCAGTCAAGGAGGCCCCATGGGAGAATCAAACTCCCAACCTCTGGCTCCACAGCCAGAGACCCAAACCACTGAACTTTCCAGCCTCCGGTCAGACACCTTCCAGTGGTCAGTGGGCCAAACTGGTTCATTTCTACCCCGGACCCCACAGAACTTTTTAGCGGTCAGTCATTTAGCTGGCTGGATAGCCCAGTGGTTTCGCCATCTGGCTGCAGAGCCAGAAGTTGGGGGTTCGATTCCCCCACGGGGCCTCCTGGACAGGGGCTGGACTGGATGGTCTCGGTAGGACCCCTTCCAGCTCTGCCGGCCCAGTGGTTTCGCCATCTGGCTGCAGAGCCAGAAGTTGGGAGTTTGATTCCCCCACGGGGATTCCTGGACTGGGGCTGGACTGGATGGTCTCGGTAGGGCCCCTTCCAGCTCTGCCCTTCTAAGGTTTGTCATTATTATTATTATTATTGGCACAGTGAATCAAAATTTTAAAAGCATTGACTGGCCATATAATAGATGCAAAGTTTAACCTATCATCATCATCATCATCATTCCTTCATTGTTTCTCTCCATTCGCTCTCTCTCACACACACACATACAGAGAGGGAGAAAATGAGAGTAAATGCATGGTTACGTCTCTCGAGAAACCACTTCCTTGATTATTACACAACTGCCACGCAGCCAGAAGTGAAGAATCGCTTAGGTAAGGGAAATTTTGGCCCCTAGTCGGATGACCTTTCCCCCTTCTCCCTCTCTCTAGAGGGAAAGGCTGTCCGGCTCCCCACTGAATTCACTTTTTTTTTCAAAGAAGGGGCTGACCCTTTCGAAATAAGAAGAGTCCGTGACATGCTGTCAGGATGAGCCCCTTCCATCAGATCAAGTGGCCACCTCAGCCTTGTAGTCTCTGGACCAAACCTGAGACCGTTCTGATCAAAACCCCTCCCCTTTTTCAGAGTTTTAGATGGGCCTGGAGGGCGATCAAAAGATGCCAGCTGGACCCCCCTCCAAAACAAGGTGTCGTGCGGAGCAAGCCGAGGGAGCGTGGCGAGAAGGCACCGCTGGAAGCATCCTCCCTCAAAACCTGGCACCCTCTAGTGATGTGGATCACAAATCCCATTATCCCCAGGATGGTGGGACGGCAACCAAGACAGCCCCGGACGAGAGCAGGACTTGAGTCGTTGGGGGACGCTGGCCCTCTCTCCCATACACCTGGAAGAGAAGTAAACTCTCGGTTTTTTTCACCGCCCCACCAAGTTCTGTACCAAGAGGGTTCTGTTCCCTTTTTAAAAATTCCTCCTGCTGACTTTTCGCAATGGAAGGAGAACTTGACCTTAAAATATAGCAAAGGAGGAAGTTAAAAAAAAATCAATGGCAACCCAAAGGAGAAAGAAAGACAGAACCCATCACCCAACCACCGATGATAGCTCCTCAGCCCTGTCCTCTTTCTTTCCAAGGTTTATGAAAGGAAGGATCTCACAGATGCCCGCTGGATGAGTCACTGGGGGTTTTAACCCCTTATCTCGCCTCGCCATGGGGCCCCCGGGAGTCCATTCTTCTCAAGAATGCAGAGTTAGTATTTTTAACAATGATTATTTTCGGGAATGGACACTTCCTGATTTGCAAGCAAGCTTGCCTACCAGGGGCCCCCGTAATAGGGTCGGTTGAGTAGAAGCCATGCAAAGGCTCACAACGCTGGAAGGGGGGAAAATCATCACAATCTTTGCCATGCTTCATTCAAAACTTTGTGGTTGTTGAGGCTGTTGATTTCCTGCAAGCGAAGAAACGGATTCGTGTAGCGCATACCCAAATTCGCCCCAACCTCTTCAGCCTTCCATTAAAGCATTTACGATCCACAGTGCCGGAAATCTGTTTCCTTTCTCCATCAGGAAACAGGAAGCGAATGCAAAAGGGAGATTGGGACTCCATTTGGAACAACAATGAAAATCTCATCGTTGAGGAAGCAGGAACTGCGTCAGGAAAAAAACAACACACAACCCACACATACGTTCTTCGCAACGGAAGTGGGAGCGAAACCTTTGCTGGCCGGCGGTGGAGGCCTCCACAAATATAGCTTTAAAAGGCCTTTTTCCTGGAACAAGGGGGCGCTTGGCAGCCGGGACCGCCATGTTGGACAATCCAGGGGTTGCAGTGTGTAAGACATTAACAACCACAACAGAACACGGCCACTTCTTACAAAAATGTCACCTCTTGGTGAACAGCAGCAAAACTCAACCTTTACACTTGGGGATCTCAACTAAATGCTCTGTAGGCTCGTCATCATCATCATCTTAGAACTGCAGAGGACTCTACGGATCGAGTCTAGCCCCTGTCAAGGAGGCCCCAGTGGCGGGTTCGAATTCTCAACCTCCGGCTCCACAGCCAGATCGCTAAACCACTCAGCGATCCTAATCAACCCTTTTGGGGGTCTTAATGACACCCGTTTTCCTCATCCCACCCCTCTTTCCGTTTGTTCATAAAGCAGCATTATTCTTACGGACGCGAAGCGTTGCCTAAGGAAGCGGTTTCCTCACCAGGCCTTCGGTTTGCAAAACAGAGACGGGTCCGTTTAATTAAGGAATAATCCGACACTAGCTTCATGTTCGGTGCTTGGAGACTTTGATGGAAAAGGGAACCGGATTTTTAAAAATAGCAGACAAAAAAGAAACAAACAAACAAAAAGCCCAAGACCAACCTTAAAGGCTATTATATTTGAATGTGAGCTTTCATGGATCATGTCCATTTCAGCTTTTAAAACTACAGATGGTGCTTTTCTCAGCTAACCAGAAGACCATAATCTGGCGAATACTGCTTCCCCCACCCTCCGCCAGCTGCCGAAACCCTTCTCCTCTTCGTGCGTGTCGTTTACTCCAGGGTGGGACCGTCCCTCCGCCAGCTGCCGAAACCCTTCTCCTCTTTGTTCTATGTGTTGTTTACTCCAGGGTGGGACCGTCCTGAAACCAAATTTGCTCCCTTGAAAACTTGCAACTATGGAAGGAGGGCTTTCGGGAGCTGGAGGGGAGCTTTCTGACTTTGGGGAGGTCCCTTGGCCCATCCTTGCCCTACACCAGGAGACTGTTGTACTCCATGATTGGGTACCTTTAGGCCCCTCGGCTGCCCGTGGGTAAAACAGAGGAACTATCCTGATGTAACTCAACGGATGCTGATGCTTTGCACCCCAATTGTTAGTTCTATGGGTTCTCCTCCTGTGAGGCCTCGGATAGACGCCTGGAGCTGCTCTCCCTCGTAGGCTCAGCAAGTCACTCGCGCTCTCCCTGGCTGGTCTGGGATTGTTGAAGGAGGGAAGGAGTTCGTTGCTTGATTTATTATTCCCAACCACTGCAAACAAACTCTCTTTTTTTGAGCACTTTTCTTTCCTTCCAAGCAAAATATTTCCTTAGATTTCCCCCAAACCGCGGCTGGGGAAAATCAACAGCCGCGTCAAGGAGGTTGAGATTTCTTTCCCTGCTTGTCAACGACAGAAAACGCCAGACCGGGAGGGAAGGGTTGACTCGGCAGAATATTCTAGCCACCGCGCTGAATCACAGAATTTCGGAGCGTCAGGGGCACGCTGTCCCCGAGGTGTGGACAGTTCCCACAAGCTCATGGGGTAACGCGAGGCGCCTTGCCCATTAGACGTTGGTCAAAAGTCGGGATTTGGCTCGGAGAGAAACCATCTGATGGTGTCTGGGTCCCCATTTTTGATCCCCTGATACGACCAGATTAAAACTCCCCGCATCTCCGAACATGACCATCTTAGAATCAGAGAATCACAGAATCCTGGAGCCGGAAGGGGGCCTTGAAGGCCATCCAGTCCAACCCCCTGCTCAAGGCAGGAATCCAAATTGGAGCACATCAGACAGAGGGATGTCCAGTTTTCTCCAGCATTGGAGCGCTCACCATCTCTGGAGGTCATGCGTTCCTGCTCTAACAATTGGGATGTTTTCCCTAATATTCAGCCTAAATCTGAAAATTGAGGAAACACCTCTGTCTAGGGTTGCTTCCAGAAGCATCTTTTCCTGTCCCTTCCTGTCCCGTCCCCTCCCCTGCTCTCCGACCATAAGCTGCTTTTTACCAACTGGGCCCCCTCGAGATGCATTGGACTACAACTCCCATCATGTAGGCTGGAGACAATGAGAATTCTAGTCCTCTCCAAGGA